AATCCTGGTATCTCCACCTCAAAAGGATTAACGCTCGTAGGGATCATGTACAGTTGTTGATAATCTCGCATAAACCCCTTCGCACCAAATTGTTTGTTATAAAGCCTTCGGAGGTGAAAAGACAGGTTTACAGCCGCATATCTATTTGGTCCTGTTCAGTCTATCCGTCCGGTACTTAACCGTGTTAATTCTAGGTACATTCTACGCCCAATGTATATTTCGCTCGAGACGAGTGTTACAAGTGTGTATCTGTTCAGGAATTCCAACGATTATAGTGATCGAAATAAACGTCTTCGGTGCATGATGCTCATCAAGGTAATCATTATCATCATCGTGCAGCAAAATACAGGGAAGCCAACTTCGCTGATCGCTGCCAAACTCGCAATGCATATGCATTGGGGTTTGACGGACGGATACTGCCAGGATGTCCAGCCACTAAGCAGGAGAACAATTAGGGTTCTCAACCAAAGCCTTTAGTTCTGACAAGAATCTAACCGCAAGGCAGCGGGTGAAACGAAGTGGAGGCCCATTTACTTGGATCAATTACTCCTCCATCATATTCTATTTGAACCCCCTACCTGGAGGACCAGGAGACTGGACTTCGTCCAACCTCTACCCTTCGACCTTTCAGGCATGATTAGATTTTCGACTTGACAAAAGTCATCCTGTGTAGCTCGTTGAGTCAAAGAAGTGCACAAGCACTCACCACCTCAAGGTGCAATCTCGTGATGGTCAAGGTAAGCAGCGGGCACAGGAAGACTGTATGGTCAGAAAAAGACCTGACACGAGAGTATGAAAACAGACTCTCGGTCACCGGCTTTTTGGCTAGAGGATCCGAGTTCGACCTGGTCAATAGTTAAGTCGCTCGTGCATCCACTCTCCATAAATCTAGTTTAATTACTTATGTATTGAGTTCGATACTGTGCTCTTATGTTGAAGCTCTTCGTTTTGCTCCTTGTTCATTATTTGGCTAAATTAGTGACCGAAAAACAGCAAAAACGAAATTAATTGAAATCAACAGAAGCATAATTTCACGATAGTCAACTAGGCATTGTTGCATGCTGTGAGATATTATTTCACGTGAGCTATAAAGGGCAGGATGCTACGTCATTCTCTAGGCATTCTGTCACAGTAGCTTATGAATTGCTTGACGAGGATGCTAATACAGGACATCAACCTGCTATTGGATGCTCGTTGCTGGAATCGCGTGCGTTACCGAGTGGTCTCAAATCAAGATATTTTATCACAGACAAGTATGAATCTGTGACTGAGTCAGATTAACCATATTAGGTTTGATACACTCCAATTCATGTTTCCAGAAGAAAACTAAAGTGCAACCTGTATCAAAGGTACATGCTCACTGTAAAGTTTCTAAATAATTGAGTTGTCCGGTAATAACAGGATGTTTACTGTTAGTATAGGAGGGTTGAGAATAATAAGCGATGAAGATATGTTGGAATAGTAAAATGAGTTCATCACTTGTTTTATGGGTAAAAAAGGAACTTATTCTTCGTTTTTTGGGCCGTGCCTCGGTTTTTATTCATCCTTATTCGAAATAATTACTGTATGCCATACGCTAATTGAACAATGACATCCGTTCGATGCATGGTGTCAGCTAGTTGTTATCCACCAATATATTTTTGTTAATTTCGTCAGCAACAGTTTCTGTAGCATACTTTAAACTAATGCACACCGACGGAGTAGATCAGTTTGTGTTGTGCACCCAGCGTGGAGCAATGAAAGCCCGGACCACTGGACTTAATCATATCAAGTTTCCGTTTTTGGCGACCGAGGATCAGTTAAGTCTATGATCACGAAAATAAAGCGATATGACTGTTCGGTGGTGTCGGTGCGCTTATTCACTTTCTACGTATTGCTATACGTTTACGACCACAGGTGAAACTGTTGTAACTTAAAGTGAATACAACCAATCACATCAAGCGATTCGTGCTTCGGCCGTCACACATTACAGATTGAACCGCGTCTGTTAAAACACCGTCCAGTCGGAGTGACCTGATTTCTCGATAGACAAACAAAAGCACTTTTAGAGTGAGTTACCGTGCGAGGACGATCGCTTCGGTGGTGTTTGACTGTTTGTTCCTCCCCATCCAGGAACGTTATGTCCTTGGTTGAATGAGCTTTAGACAAAAATGAACGAACACGGCGCTATTTGACCTCAGTCGGCCGGATATGAAGACGAATCAAGTCAAGATGGATCGACTTTCGGTCACTGTTCAGGCGGAATTGTTGGATTGAATCGTTGCATGAGTGGGTTCAGTCGAGGACCCGAACATCCTAATGAGTAAATTCCATTGAATTAGACTTTCCATCGAATACCACCGATTCCTTTGAACCAAATGCAATAGCCCACATATTTCTAGCATTGCAAGACACACTTGACGACATACTCAGCAATCGTATACAACTGCAGCGAAGGAACTAAGGTGGCGGTGGCGCGGTGGTTTACTCGCTGTAACCGACGTGCTTTGGACCCTAAGGTCCGAAGTTCGAGCCCCACCAACCCCATTCAACTTTGGTGATAGGCAGCCTTGCTGTCGTCCGGTTCAATACCATACCTGAAGCAGCGGGGCATTATATGCTTCCGCAATCCAAGTCCCGGACTTAGGATACCGGTTTCCATCACTGCACAGCAAGTCCTCATGACTATGACGTTTATCCCGTCTGCTATTCATCGCACAGTGGTGTGTAATACAAACATTTCCCGCTTCATTGACTCCGCAAGCGACGAAATCCAATATCTAAACGTTTGTATTTTTGTACCACTCAACGACAAGCGCACTGTAGTCAAAACTATTCCATCGAGCACGTCATATTTACACCGAGGATAGCCTAGAAGCGGAGCTAGACCAACTTCAAGCAATTCTTGTTGAGAACGGCTATCCTGACAGTTTTATTAGGAAGTTAAGCCGGATATCGAAGCGAAAACCAGCAGTAGATGACGTCCGTAAGGTCTATAGTTGCCTTCTCTTCAAAGAAGACAATATCAGCCTGATTTTCCACGACCGACTGAAAAATGTAGTAAAACACACTTATACTGCTGCCAACCCAATCAGCCTGAACACAACCACAAACATTCCCA